AAATTTGGCCATTATTCGTTGCCCCCTTTTTCTCTATGATCTGAGATATTGGAAAGATATTATCAATGCATGGAGCGGCCTGCCCTGAACCCGGTTTCTTTTTCAATCTCATGGGGGCTAAATTCATCTTCTATTACGGTTCTACGTATTGTTCCGGGGGTGACAGAAGAAAACGGGAACTATATTTGGATTTAGGGCATTATTTTACATAAGAATCAGCAGGAATAGCCTTGCGTAACCTAATGGCCCCAGTATAGGAAGCCATACCTTGCTGATCCAAAGGCGTGCAGCGGGAATGGTACCATGGGAATTTTTGTTGCTCTAGATCTTGATATGTTGCTGCTCGAAGTCTAAGATAGTTTATAGTTTATTCTCTTAAGGTAATTTATAGTTTATAGTACTATCTATCTTTTTATCTTAAATTTATGTTTAATAAAAATATGACAGGAAAAATTGCTTTTGAGTTTTTTTTATATATGTAATTCTTTTTCTAATAAATTAGTGGTTAATTATTCCTAAATGTTATTGGTAGAAATAAAAATGTTCAGTCTTGCGGTTATGTGCTTTCATTAAATTACGGCATAGTAGAGTAAGCTAGACATAAAAAATATTTTGTTTGAGTATTATAATAATATCGAATATATTGTATCTCCTATTTTTTAATTTATACAAATCAGTCTATAAGAATGTAATAAAAAATTCAATATCCAATTTAAACGCAATAACTATGCATTTATAAAATAAAGTGGCTGTAAAGTTAATGTTTTGTGGCCGTTTTATATCTTGTTGCGTAATATGAAATTGGTTATTATTTTGATTACGCGATTTATTTCTGTTGGTTTGCATCCAGAAATAATAATTCGAAATAAAACTATTTTATATTACCCATAGAAGAGTAAAAGAAACAATCATTCAGACAATGAAAACTGGAAAGAGAGATTTGTTACTTTAGTTATAGATTTAAATAAATTTCTTTTAATTATACATTCAGATGCAAAAAAAACGCAACGGAGAAATTTTTGATCAAATTTAAAGTGTTATATTTTTGTTACTTTCAGTCCTATTTTCATGATTTTTTTAGCAATAACTATTTATATTTTTTAAACAAAAATTACAGAGTCGATTCTTTTGACACAGTTAGTTTCTATTTGGCAAGTAGATAACAATATTATACTTTTGGCCCATATATTTGATATGATAAGGGTCTATTTTGGATTTTCAGTTTATAAAAGTAATGAATAAATTTGTTGGAATTAAGTTCTCTACTATTTTATATAATAGTTTTGGAGAAAAATTATTAAAAAAAAATGGATGTTTTGCTATTACTTAACAGAAATTGTAAAAATTATCATGTGGCAGTAATTTCTATAATTTTTAAAATATATCTAATAAAAATAGGTGGCACAGTTAAATAATAAAGTTGTAGAGAGGGATTTGATTCACAACAATTTTTGTATAAGAAATATTTTACTACTTCATCTAGCTTCAGCAATAGATTGGACGAGCTGGTAGAGTGTATTACGAAGACGCGACGATTAGTTTATTGTATATAATCAAAATCAGCTGCGTCGTATTTTTTACAAAAGGTTAGAATGTACGTTAATATTTTTGGGAACACTCTCGAGCTGCTCTATATTTTAGACGAATTTATCGAAAAATGTCAAAGAGGTGGGAGGATTCAAGACTCCTAACACAAATTAGAAACATTGTCTCTGGTATCTGGTAGTGTTCCCAATTGATAGCGCTGGCAAAAGACAGTCATCAGATGATTGGCGGTAACTTTCGCAACGCAAATGTAGTGAATATATTTAAAAACAAAAGAAGTGCATCAGACTGCGGAAATAACCGGGGAATTTCACTATTGGCTATCGGAGGAAAAATTCTTGCAAAAATTATGTCAAACCGCCCGCACCCATATATAGAAAAAATCCTTCCAGAATCGCAAACGGGTTTTCGTACCAACCGCGGCACCGTCGATTCCATATTTTCCATCCGCCAACTACAGGAAAAAGCAAAAGAGCAGCAGTCTAAACTTTATGTTGCATTCATCGATCTAACAAAAGCCTTCGACTCTGTGAAGATAGATGCGCTTTGGGCAATTACGAAAAAGTTCGGAGTACCCAACAAATTTCTTACAGTATGTAAAAGCCTCCATAACAGGTCAAGAGATGTGTCTTAGCGCCTCTCCTATGCACATATTCATGGCAGCGCTCTCCATTATAGTGGACAGCAAACTGCAAAAGAGAGGATTGGGAATTAGATACAGATACGACGGCCGTCTGTTCAACAAAAAAAGACTCAGGGCAAAAACACGTAGTAAATTCATCACAGAACTTCAATACGCTGATGACTGCGCTCTAGTTGCAAACACGTTACAACAATTACAAGAAATGTTGAATACATATATCTGGGCATACGAGGCTTTGGGCCTTAAGCTAAACATCCACAAAACCAAAATCACAACAATGCTATAAAAATCGGTGAAAAACTATTGGAATATGTGGCGTAATTCAATTACCTAGGCATTCTCATTTCGGAAAAGGCCAATATTGACTCTGAAATTCAGCACAGGATTAGCAGCGCCTCAAGAGCATTCTGGAAATTAAAAGACTGGTGGCTAATAGCTAATGGGCTGTCTTCTACAATCATGACTTGAGTACAAAAACAAAACTTGCAGTGTACCGAGCAATTATAATCCCCACCATGTTATATGGGAGAGAAACCTGGGGTGCCGTACCGCCGACACATGAACGTATTAAACAAGTTGCAACAGAGACACCTTAGACAACTCTTAAGCGTCCGGTGGTTCCATCATGTCTCAAACGTATCGGTCCTTGAAAAAGCTAACTGCGATGAAATTGAAGTCATGGTTACAAAATCCCGCTTAAGATGGGCTGGTCACGTATGCGGAATGCAAGAAAACCTCATACCAAAATCTCTGCTTTACGGTGAGCTTGTAGACGGTAAGAGGAGGCCACCGGGTGGACAACTGAAAAGGTACAAAGACTATTTCCACGAAAACTTAAAGGGGATTAACATGCAGAATGAGTGGGAGGAAGCAGCTCATAATAGAACTCAATGGAGAAGAATTGTAAACTCAGTTAACAGCTACAACCAAAAAGTAAAGGGGCAACAAAGCAATGAGATTTTTGAATGCCCGGAGTACAGGAGGCAGATAACATCACGTATCGGGCTTTTCAGTCACAGAAAAGCTCATGAAAGAAATCGCATTGCGTGACCATCTTCTGATGTGTGTCGAATACCCGTCAGCGAGTAATAGCAGTATTGTATTGTATTGTATTATCAACATGGCGTGTAAAAATAATTGATTATTTTTAATCACAATCTAAAAAGGGAACATTATAACATACCTATAAAAAGAAAGGAATTTATGATAAAACTTGATAATCAACTTACAAGGTCGTAGCTAGAGCACTGTTAAAGTGTGATTTAGTGTAATTTTAGAACGCGAATATTTTAGAAATTCCTCTGCAGACAGATTTACAGGAACCTCCAGCACTAAACGTACTACTTCATATATGTATGTGTCCATAAAAAAAACAAAGAATGACACCACTGTATTGCAACCACTACAACCGCGCATTTTGCGCTGAACATCTTGAGCAATATTGTTTGATTTGCCATACTGAGAAATAATTAGTCATTATATCGTTTTCTGAATTTCAACATATACGTTGCAAATTATTGTTTTAAATAAAATAACCAGACATTTCGTTTGTTAAGGAAATATCGTCAAAATTACGAATGGTTAGTATTTGCGGCATTATACAGGGTGTTTCAAAAAACATGTGCTATCTCTCGTGGAGAGATTCCTCACGTATAAATAAGATTTATTTTTCATACAATATAGGTCCGATTTTGCTTTGTTTCGTAGCTACAGGATGTTAAAGTCTTAATAATCTTTCAGTTTATTATAATTTTCTTCCAAGTAGTTTTAGTGATTCGAATGAAATTTTAAGAGTAAAAGTTAGGTACTATAAGTGCTACATATTTTAATGTTAAAAACTGTCGATAAATTCATCAGGGTGGTGCATATGGGTTATCACTGGAATATTTTTCAAAAAAAAATGACTGACTTTTTTCTTTTGATATCAAAATTGTGTAGGTCGTTTAATGCCAATTAAAAGTTATCTCTTGATATTTTGTTGAATTCGGCCTCCTTCATGAGATCAATGCAATTTTATTCATCACATTTAATAAAAATTAAAATAAAAATAAAATTAATAAATTATATATTACACCTCTAATTTATTATTAAATATTATTACCATTAGTTATTATTACTATTAGTCCAACCTAATGCAATTTCAAATAAAAAAAATGGTATTTAATATAATTACAAAAAAACTAATTTTAAAAATTTTTGACATCCTGTAACTCTAAAACTATGTATTTCCATACCCATATTTTTTATAGGATTTTTTTTTCACATTTTTTATTATTATCAGGAATCAATGAGTACCTTTTTAAAACTTTCGCAAGTTAATGATATTATTTTTTTTAAAGGTTGGTTGCTATTAGACTTGGACCAACGCAAATTAATAAAATTGCGTTTATCTCATCAAGGAGGCCGATATCGACAAAATATCAAGACAACTTTTAATTTTACATTAAACTTCTTACAACTATTTCGGTAACAAGAGAAAAAATTCAGTGGTGATAACCCATATGTACGTCTCTGGTGGATAATATGTCGACACATTTTTAGCTTTAAAATATGTTGCATTTATAGTAGCTTTTACACTCAAAATTTCATTTGAAACGCTAAAAGTACTTGAAAGAAAATTATAATAAATCGAAAAAATATAAATACACCCTGTAGCTGCGAAACAAAACGGAATCGGACCAATGCAATGTTGATATGCAAAATAAATCTTATTTTTACCTGAGGAATCTCCCCACGAGAGATGGCACATGTTTTTAAAACACCCTGTATATGGTTAGTATTCTAGGGTTAAATACTTTTTTTAAAAACTTACCAACAACGTTTACAAGGGCTAATACTTCACAGAAGTAATATCGATATGCCCACCAGTTATGAAATCGAAGATTCTCCCAAAGGTAATCGATCATTAGTTTCTTCTTTTGCTTTTTCTCGATTTCCGAGCACACTGCAACGTCGAGGTCCATCATCAGAGCGCAGATCTTTCCTCCCTCCCAGGATTTCCATAGCCATCGGGGCGTGTAAAACAGGATTGCCTGCAAAAATCTTTTATATATTTTTTTGTTAAGCTCTAAACCAAATTGATTTTATACGATAATAGTGTTAATTTTGAACTTCAATATCAACAACTCGAAAAAAAAAAATAAAATCATAATATTTTGCATTTCTCATATTATAGTGTATGTGTTACAGTGGAAGTCGGAAATTCAGTGATTGTTAACATTCACTAGGAAATGCTAGCAATTCTCGGAACGTATGGTATTGAACTCGGAATGTGGTATTTTAAAGAGATTTGTCGACTTTTCCTAGTAATTTCTAACTTTCGCTATTATGAATGTAACATTTACTAAAGGTTGCCAGTGAAAGTTATTCTATTGTATGTACAGGGAGAGTGTGGCGAGGAAGACTGTTGGTGGAAGTTAGGACAAATAGAACTTTTAAGAATATTGGATCACCCCAAGCTGTTCAAGCTATTCAAGCTGATCCACAAATCTTAAAATTACAATTTACTTCTTCGGTATATTTATTAAAACTTATAGAAAATAACGACACAACCTTCTAAATATTAAAAGGGAAATCATAGTAACCATTTTAAATCGTACAAAACAATCTAAAAAAACATTCATAAACTTAAGTTTACTGGTTACGTGATACAAGTTTTTTTTTTAAGTTCTTCATCGTGGACAAAATAAAGTATGCCCGAATTTCCTTCAACGGGAGTTATTCGCTTTTTGAAACCCGCTACTTTAATCATATCAAAACTAGGTTCATACTCGATAATAACTAATTCATAGTCACTAGGTTCTTTAATATCCTTTTCTCTTGCACACTTAACTTTTGCTATGACTTCATTATATTGCAAATATGAAGAACAAGCACTATTACATTCTTGCGAGTGCCTAATTTGCCTTAATTTTTCACAGAAAATTTCTTCCATAGAGACAATAACGCACAGCACTTTTTACAGCGATAACAAAACAATTATACATAACCACAAAAAAACGAAGCGAATTTACGCTAGATGTCTGTCAACGTTGCCAACGTTTAGCCCAATTTAATGTTATCCTTATATTGGCTATTATTCAATTATCCTTTTTTATCCTTATATTTTTCATGTGGCAACCGGGCTAACTGAATCTTTCAAACTAACTGCTATCGTCCAGGGCATGCTAGCATTCACTAGTAAAAGTTGGTTTTAAAAATAGCTGTTGGACTTTTACTGGCGTAGTCTTAGCAAATCAGTGAATGTCAGTTTCTACTAGTAATTGTTAACAATCACTGAGAGTCTTAACAATTAACTTTTACTGTAACATATGCACTAGTACGGGGTTTCAATTATTCTGCAAGGATTACTTGAAGGGAAACGTCTTTACGCGCAAATGGAGTAAAAATTGAAGGCTGTAACATGCGAGACACACTAGACGCGAGAGGAAAAGTGGTAACGATCGGCGGTTAAGACGGAGAAGAACGTGCTCGAAGAGCCCCATCTTTTCTAGATATTTTTATCAATTGATAGAATCAAATCAAAAAATCGTCCGGCGATTTAAATGAAATTTGGTATGTCGATAGATTTAACCAAACCCATAGACAAACAAATAAAAAGAGACTAGCAAAGAGAGGGACAACGTTCCCATAGCGCAACTCAGAACGCAAAATTTCGTTCTATTTATGTTGATCTGCGCATTGCGTCTATTGGGCCTACTATCTCATTCTAATATAACAAGAGAAAAGCAGCCATATAAAACCACAAATAGAGAACAATCGCTTTTCGTTTTCGTCATCATGACAACCAAGATGACAACATCATGACAATTCGTCATGTTTGTTAATAATTTTTCTCTTGGTTATTTACCTTTTTTTCTAAACTCTCCATTTTATTGACTTATGAATATGGATAGGAAACAAATTCCTTTGTTCCATATATGTATTTATATTTTGTTACTTATAATTGTAGGTTATACTATTTGTTATTTTATTTGCTTCAGGAGCCAGTATCATCTGTGCCCCCTTTCTCTGATAGATATGTTAAAGACACCCGGTAAAATAAAAGTAAGTATAGTAAACGCCACGAATGTTTGGGAGTGATTCGTAGCTTGATGAAGTTAGAATCGATACGCAGGCTATCATTTTTACATTAATAACATAATTTTTTACCGCAGGCGTAGGTTTTAACGGCCCGATCTTATCATCTACCTGCGCCCCTCCTACTTATTCTAAAATGTTACCGTGATTGACAAAGACGATATTATATTGCGTTTCTTTGATTGATTCGTTTTTGTGCGTCAGTCCATTGGTGTGCTTGCAGTGCGACCAATGGGGCATTCCAGTTTATATTTATAACCAAATATATGTTTTGACAAGACTTTGACAGTTAAAACAACAAATTACAACAGATTATATATTGATTATTATATGACTTGAAACACCACGGCACTGGAATTAAGTTTTATGTGACCTTGAACAGATTAGTTCACATGGTAGCGACCGATGAATCACTCCCAAACATTCGTGGCATTTACTGTAATTATATTTATCATCTTATTAAGAAAAAAGTAGAAGTAGTAGTGTCAAAAATATTTCGAACCTCTCTTAACATAACAAATTAATACAATTAATTTTTTTAATTTTTTGGCTAGGTAGTTTATAGCTATAGTAACCAGAGCGTTTATAGTAACCAGAAACTTTATTAATATACCTATTTTACTTTTGTTTTAGGATTAAAACTGGACTTGAAAATGGTTCAGGATTATGATTATCGTAAAGTCTTCTTTGCTTGGATATTCACTTTGTTATTGCAATTGGGCAGTTTTTTCGAAAATGAGATTTTTAATGTCCCCAAAAAATTGGCCGATTGTTTCCTGCAACAGTCAGTTCTTCTGCATTTAAAATTGGTAGGTGGGTGGAATAAACACTGTTATTTTTTGTTATTATATTATAAAAAGTTTATGTACTTTTATGTATAAATAAATATGTTTATAAAACAGTACAATTTTTGCTTCGTTATAATTTCCCTTATAATAGTAGTATTCTTTCGTTCTGAAAGAAACTGCAAATTTTCACTTAAACTGATTTATTCCCTACACCACGTTCCCTTTACGTGGTATAGGGGGAATAATCAGTTTAAAATATTCAGTTCAGAATGAAAAAAGAATACTAATAGCTAATTAAATTTTCCGCCAACCAGAATGTGCGATAATGTCTTACGATAAGTTTTATACCTATCTCTTTCTTTTTCATATAAAGCACACATAATAAAGAAAGATAGCAATAAAGACGTACGTCCTGCCATGGTCCTGCTAATTGGTTTCAAAATTGTTATTCTGAGTTGCGCTACGGGAACGCGGTCCCACTCTTTACCATGGGATTTGTTAGTCTCTGTTTATTTGTTTGTCTATGACCAACCCCAACTTGACCGTGTATGACACGTGTCACTGTGACAGTTACTTTTGACGTAAGGAAAGTCAAGAGTTGATATCGACCGATCGCAATCAAGTTTGGTGGGTAGGCTATGTAAGAGACTGTGCACACGGTCCAACCCTGCAAAGTTAAATACGACGTTTCGTTTACATCATAATCAGGGTGGGAGTTCATTATTGAAAAAAATGAGGCGATTTCAGCATAACTGGGGACAGAGTAAAGGATCACGCCCTCGACGTTTTGAACCGATGCCTCTAAATGAAAATCATCAGGATTTTTCTTAATTACGGCTCGATTGGAATCAAACTAGGCACGTGGATAGGGTACCCGAATTGAGTCCTCTGATGGACAGACCGGCAGACCGACAGACAGACAGACGGAAGTAAGAAGTTTCCCTTCAAATATGCGCACATAGTGCACACAGGTTCAATTATTGCAAAATGTATTTTTAAGGAGAAATTAATTTACAATATTAGTTAAAAGTCGTACTATTCTAGGATAACACAGAAATAACATTCTACATTAAACTGGTCATTACCAAATGTTGCCCGTATTTAAAGTTAATTTTATCACGTATATTAGATATTAGATATTTGACTGTACTAATACCAATTAATTATATTCAATATAAAAATAAAGTGTTGTTTTTAAAATAATAGTCTTATACTTATGCATTGGTGATAATATTTTTTCATATTTCCGTCACATTTTCTGATTAGTAATTCTTATACCTGGATAGAAAATATTGCACAAAATATGAAAAAATAATTTCATATTGCTGATTACCAAGTTTTCAGGTATATTTATGACACTACAATAATACTGTATATTTTTTAATATTTTCTAGTCTGATAATTAGTTACTAATAAATATTATTATTGATAATATTTAATTAAACCTCTGGCATATATTAAGTTAGTTTGTCGTAGATGATTAATTCCAACAATAATAAATAATTCAGTCTCATAGTGTATATTTTGTTAATAAATATTAAATAAAAGCTTTTGTGATTCTTTTTTGTTAAATATTTTTTTAGTAATAGTTTCAACTTTATCTGCACCAGAATGTATCTTCGTAATTATTAACATTGAAAATGTTTCTGTTATCCTATACAGGCCCGGCAATGGATCTCTAGGCATAGGAATTACATGCATTGGAATGAAACGCCTATAAAAAGTCTATGCTTAAACAGAGATGGACAACAACTTCCCCGTTTCCACTTCCACTACGACTGTCTACTTAGACAAAGTCCAATAAGATAACAAATTTTGAAAATTCCGCCACCTCCCATCCACTCATGATACCCATCTCCCTGCCCTTTATTTATCGCCATTATTTTATTTCCCTTCCCGCGCCTCCGCACCTCGCTATTCTGACTCCCGTCAGTTCATCACAGAGTTGCCAGGTCTACCGGTTTCGTCTGTAAGCTACCGATCTACCGATTTAAAGAAAAATCTAACGATATATTCAACTGCGTCTTTAGTTTTTACAATAGAAGCACTTATAAAAAGCTGACTTATTTGACTAAAAATTAAGCGACTGCCGTGTTGGAATCTGTATAATTTGACTTTATTATTGTTTCATTAAATTTTATTTAGTAATAACACACATACAGGTC